GGATTGAGGACTGGGACTGGGACTTTCACGCCATCATTGAGGAGGGAGAGGGACGGCGTGTGGTGTGTGGACGGTGAAGTGGATGGATGGATCCAACCTTTGGCCAGGTATCCGTACCTCCTGCTTCTCGTCCTTTCGGTTTGTTTTTCTTTTCGTGAGAGTGAGGTCAATCCCACCAACGTAATTGGAGGCGTATGGTCCAGTTTGGTCCCCTTTGGTGTGTTTATGAGGGGTGGAAAAGGGAGGTACCCAGAACAGGGACAGGTACAGGGACAGACACGCAGAGAAGACGAGATGGAACTCAACGATTAAAAAAAACAGGCTGGGATCATTTTGGGACATTGGAATGAATCCAGTTGGTCCGGACTGGCGGAGCAAAGGCACGTTGGACCGGTAGGTACCTATTCGAGTTCACAGCAAGGTACTCGGTACCTACCTTGTCTGCTTCACTTTGCACTTGCAAGGCAGGTACGGGTCGACGGATGGGAGGTACCTGTGCCTTTCCCGGCTCAAGGCAAGGCTCAAGCGACAGTAGCGGAAAGTGCAGGGAAGGTAGCAGTTGGCCGTTTGCTGGCGTCAAGCGGTGCCTGCCTGGTCCCGCGACAAGTGCCCAATTGGTGCGTGTTCGTGTGTCAATGCCACTGTCTGTGTTCAGTGTGCTCTGCTTGCTCTTTCTTGCCATTGCATCTCTCCAGAAGTCTCAAATCTCAATGTCTCGCCAATTTTTTTTTTTTAGTTCTGTTGGGGATGGTCGTACACCCCAATCCACCCCTCCAGCTCCACCCTTGACTTCATGCAGCCCGAATGATCCGCAAGGTGCCGCTGTTGGAGAACGGGCGCCAATGTACCGGTACTTGTCCTCGCTCGACTTCAGGTTGACTGCTTGCTCGCCTTCTCTTCCACGCATGGCATCCAACACTCTTCCCAAGTTCCCTCCCCTCCAAAGCGTCGCTTCGATGATGGCGGGACCGTGGACGCAACCACAACCTACTCTGTACGGATTGTGTGTATCTTGCCTCCGGATCTTTGCCGCGACCTCTTAGCTCATCGCACCGGCGCCGTCTTCCTCGAGTCTTGAGATGCTGGATCAACGGACGCACGAATCCTCGGCCAAATGGCATCATTTCGGCTCTTGGGCTTTGGCTTGCACCACACTTTCCAACAAACCCGCTGCTACCTATTAAGCAAACCGTACTTGCTACGCACGCCGATAAGATGCCGAGCTGCTACCCCGGATGCAACAAACTGACGATAACGAGGCCAAAACTTTCGCGCCGCCGCGGACCATCTCGAGTTCTTCTGCGCGACATCGCTCGATGCCAAGTTGCCTCCCAGAGCACCCCAAGTAAGTTGTCAAGCCTCGCCTCTTCCCTGGATGGACTCACTTTGAAAAGGTATTGCCCACCTGAACTTGGACCCTAAAGTCCCACATATGCGGGATCCCACCAAGTACAATGTACTCGCGGCCCCCCGTTACGTTCCCGCAACTCCCTGGCCGGCTCAGAGGCGGTCAACATCCCTAGCGTCGCAATCAAGTTTCTGCCGTCTCCTTCTCCCCACCGCTTTCACCCCACGCCTGGGGCTGGATGCTGGGGAGGATGGGAAATTCGCGGGACCCTGAGGAAGGGGATCCCGCAGGGAGAACGGCATGTACACATTCGATGTACCGATACCAGCCGCCACACCGCACTCACAGGTCTGGCCTGGCTTGCTGGGGCGGGAGCTATCTCTGTGCCATGCCACGCCGCCCACGCGGACGGTCCTCGCGGAATGCAAGCCCGGCGCAACTGTTCTGTTTCTCCCCTTGGAAGACGTGGAGGGGTAATAACTAGCGCTGAGAATCGTACCTGGGCACCAATTCAGTGAGACATACCATCTGCCCGCTGCCCAGCCCAGCCCAGCACTTTTAAGCATGAACTGATGAGGAATAAGGCTGGAATTCTCGAATATTGACAATTGTTGCACCGAGAAAATGCTCTCGGTCTCCGATGGCTCAATGTTGTCTCTCGGTCGGCTCGGGCGAGCTGAATTGAGGGTTCAAAAAATGCTCCTGGTGAAGGGCGGCCAGAGACATCCTGTGGTTCGCAGACTGTAACACATCACAATGGTTTGTTGCCTGAGTCTTCTGTCAACTGGGCGTCTTCACCCACCTTTCGTGGCTCGTCTACTGAAGAACTGAAGCGACCCGTCGTAGGCCACCGAAAGGTCAGCAACAGCCTACCTACGTTAGTGAACTGAGCAGTTCCTAGCCAGGGCTTGAGCTGAAGCAGACGAAGCCCCTCAAACAGCAGACACGAACCTCGACAAAAAAAAAAAGCTTGGGTCAACCCGTTGTCAACTCTAGTTGCCAAGTATCGATACATTGGCCCCCAATCCAACTGTGGCGGGTTCCCGAAGCAGCGACCACTTCTGCCCCTCCTCACCCTCCATTTCCCATTTACCCCTTCCACTCTTCCATCTCCTTCTGCTTGCAATGTGGAGGCCTTTTCTTTGGTTTGTTGCTCAGGAGTTACGGTTGTTCGTTTCCGAACTCCCGTTGGTTGACGGACCAGCAGATATCTTATCATGGCACCACTTTCCCACAACTTGCCGCACTCGTACCGTGTTTGCACAAGTACCTACCGCATACTACGACTATTCCGTTGTTGACACCTTTCAGAACATACATAGTAGTCGTCGCTGTGAAGAGCCGTAGCTCTATCCGTATCTCTTATCGGTATCGGTGTCGACGTCGCGCCAAGCATCAAAGCTCCAACAAGCTCCAGCTCCCCCTCCTCTGAAAGAGAAAGTATATGGACAGTCGTTGAGTGTCGCAAGAAACTGTGACCAACAGGAAGGCAGCGATAAGGATGAGCTGATAGAGATGCAATCAGAGTTAAGAGTCGTCGGAACGGGTACATCTAAGGTCAAAGGTGAGGTGAAGATGGGGAGGTCTCAGAGACTTACACAGCAGACAGAGCCTCGCGTCGAGCTAACGTTTGCTTCACGCACTAAGTCGACTCGAGGACTCGAGGGGCAGGTATGGCGGGCACTAGCCCGATTCCAACATTCCGGCAGCTCGGGAAAGGGACGCGAGGAAGTGGAAGTCAGACAGAGAGATGGCGAGAAAAGTCGGGAATTGAACGCGCGCCACAGGAGGCTAACAACAGCGCCCAGCCGTGCCAGCCCAGGCCAGCAGTAGAACCCGATAGCTAGCAAGCCTTGGATGTGAAGCTGCAAATCAGGTACAGCTACTTGCCAGGTCTTGTGTTGTCTCATCCGGCCTCGCGACATGGCACGTACCCGCACTTCGCATTACACGACAGCAGGCTGGCTTGAAGAGCAGACAAGCCGCGAAATCTCAAGGTTCTTTGACCAAGGACCGAGATAAGATAGCGAGGCGCACGGAGGGAGTCACTTGAGACTCGTCAATAATGCATGCACCACGATGATGCCGCAGCTGCCACTTTGCTCGTTCTCTCGCACAGAAGACGAAGAGCACTGACTGGCTCCGGTCTAGCCAGGTGACATGTTATCTTACGTATCAGTGTCTAATGGTGAAGAAAGCTTGGCCCCAAAAAATTCATGCTTTCCGTGGCTTGGATGTGATGATTCGTAAAGCTCTCATCATCATACACATAACACATAACACATCATAACTCTCCGTACGTGAGGTCGAGGTAGCTTCAGGTACACACAGTAAGTAATGTAGATAGTATGGGGGAGGTATTTTGAAACCGGTCACTCATCACGTCTTCTTGATGGGCTGGATGGCTTACCCGAAACTTTTTTGCGGAGGTGATGCCTCAACTCCAAGAGTCCAACGTCAACTTCCATGGCATCAATGACGGACTGCCTCCCTACCATCCCTCCCAAAAGATGTGCTCCACCGTCCCACCCTGTATTCCCCCAATGAAATGGTTTTGTGGGGAAGGCCCCCCTGATCATCCCATGCTCGATTGGGGAAAGCGTCTGAATATGGTTGAGGAGCTTTGCCAGGCGTTGCAGCAACCCAAGAAAAGAAGAGCCAGCAGCCACATCCCACTGACCACACACCTCCCCGGTAATCTACACGCCAGCAGCTTCTTCCCACCTGCATGGGGGGAACATGGAAGGGACAACGCGTGCCGGCAAGTTCACGTCTCCCATCGCGAAGCAAGGTAGGTTGGCCCCACTTGTCTGTTCCTCCCAGTCGAGGGCCCTGCCGCTTTTCTCCCAGGAGACAGCAATAGAAGACGGAAAAAAAAAAGAAAAGAAAAAAAGGGAAAAAGGGACAGCCTGTCGAGTGTCTTGAGAGACACCACCTGTCCATGGATCCATCCACCTTCACTTGAGTATCCAGTGGATGTACCTACACCACCGCCTACGCGCTTGTACCTTGTACCTTGCCTCGCCCCAGGTACCTCGACATTGGGAAAAGCCTCCATCGCACTCCCTCTCACGCACTCTGCTCATCTTCCTTGAGCCGGTGGGGGCCCTTGCCTGGTTCAACAATCACCTTTTTTTCCTGACGGGACCTGTTGTTCCCATCCCTCCCTTTCCAGTTGGTGTCCTCTCCTCACAAAGTAGACGCCCCCCAAGAAAGTCAATCAAGTGCCAGTGACCCGATATCGAGGGGCCAGAGCCGTCGACTTTCAACTTGTCTCTCTTTTTTTTTCAATCAAATCCAGCCATCTTCCCTTCATCCGCATCCTCCCCAAACCACTTCTACATCTCCCTCGCTCGCCTTCGCCAGTTTGTCCCTCCCTCTCCCCGGCGCGGACTTGATTCTCCCTAGAACAGCCATCCACTGTCCAGATTGGAAAAAAGTCTTGCGAGCTCTGTCTGCTTCACATATACCCTCACCGCAGACACCAGCGACAAATACACTGTTCCAGGATTCCGATTCTCCCACGGCCTCCCACGGACAGCAAATACCCTCCTAAACGTCAAAACTTCGACGACGACTAGATACCCTCAGTTTCCCGGTTCTCCTCCCAGCTCCGCGTCATTGAGCTTCCAGCTCCTCCCAGCTGTTTATCATGCGTCCCGAAGTCGAGCAAGAGCTTGCCCATACTCTCCTTGTGGAGCTCCTTGCCTACCAATTCGCCTCACCCGTGCGGTGGATTGAGACCCAAGATGTTTTCCTCGCCGAAAAGACCGCCGAGAGGGTGGTTGAAATCGGTCCCGCTGATACCCTTGGTGTGATGGCCAAGCGCACCCTCGCCTCAAAGTACGAAGCCTACGATGCCGCCAAGTCAGTCCAGCGTCAAATCCTCTGCTACAACAAGGATGCAAAGGAAATTTACTACGAGGCCGACCCTATCGAGGAGGAGCCAGAGCCTGCTGCCGCTTCATCTAGCGCGCCGGCCGCTGCTTCTTCCTCTGCCCCTGCGGCTGCTGCCGCTCCCGCTGTTGCCGCTCCCCCGCCCAGCGCCGGCCCTGCCGCTCAGGTTGCCGACGCCCCCGTTCAGGCTATCGATATTCTGCGAGCTCTTATTGCTCAGAAGCTCAAGAAGCCCTTGGCTGAGGTCCCCTTGAGCAAGGCCATCAAGGACCTTGTTGGCGGTGAGTAGCGAAATTTTCAAACTCCACACTACCAGTCGTAGCAACCTGCTGATCCGCTGTAAACAGGTAAATCCACCCTTCAGAACGAAATCCTTGGTGACCTCGGCAAGGAATTTGGATCAACACCAGAGAAGCCTGAAGATGTTCCTCTTGACGAGCTCGGTTCCTCCATGCAGGCCACCTTCGATGGCCAGCTCGGCAAGCAATCTCAGGCTCTTATTGCCCGCTTAATCTCCTCCAAGATGCCCGGTGGCTTCAACATCACGGCCGCGAGAAAATACCTCGAGACAAGATGGGGCTTGGCTTCAGGAAGACAAGACGGCACTCTTCTGCTTGCTCTGACCATGGAGCCTGCTGCCCGTTTGGGATCCGAGGCGGACGCCAAGGCTTTCCTGGACGACGTCACCCAGAAGTATGCTGTTACCGCCGGTATTAGCTTGACCACTCCTCAAGCTGGCGCTGCGGCTGGCGGCTCTGGTGGTGGCATGATGATGGACCCCGCGGCTATCGATGCTCTCACCAAGGACCAGCGCGCCCTCTTCAAGCAGCAGCTCGAGCTCCTCGCGAGATACCTCAAGCTGGATCTCCGTGCCGGCGACAAGGCCTACCTCAACTCTCAGGAGTCCGAGAAGGTCCTCCAGTCTCAGATCGACCTCTGGACTGCAGAGCACGGCGACTTCTACGCTGCCGGCATTCAACCCGTCTTCAGCTCCCTCAAGGCTCGCTCCTACGATTCGTCCTGGAACTGGGCACGCCAAGATGCCCTCCACATGTATTATGACATCATTTTCGGCCGCCTCAAGGCTGTCGACCGTGAGATTGTCAGCCAGTGCATCCGCATCATGAACCGCTCCAACCCCACCCTCGTTGAGTTCATGCAGTACCACATTGATAACTGCCCTGCGGAGCGCGGAGAGACGTACAAGCTCGCCAAGGAGCTCGGTGAGCAGCTCATTGAGAACTGCAAAGAGGTCCTCAACGCCAACCCCGTCTACAAGGACGTTGCCGTTCCCACCGGTCCCCAGACCACAGTCGACGCTCGCGGTAACCTCAACTACGAGGAAGTCCCCCGTGCCAGCTGCCGCAAGCTGGAGCACTACGTCCAGCAGATGGCTGAAGGCGGTAAGATTTCCGAGTACGGCAACCGCACCAAGGTTCAGAACGATCTGCGCCGCATCTACAAGCTCATCAAGGAGCAGCACAAGATGTCCAAGACTTCGCAGCTCGAGATTAAAAACCTCTACGGCGATGTTCTGCGTTCTCTCGCGATGAATGAGAACCAGATCATTCCCAACGAGGATAGCCCCTCCAAGAAGGCCAAGCCCGGCAAGGTCGAGACCATTCCCTTCTTGCACCTCAAGCGGAAGAGCCTTCACGGCTGGGACTACAGTAAGAAGCTCACCGGCTACTACTTGCAGTCTCTTGAGGAGGCCGCTAAGGATGGTGTCACCTTCGCTGGCAAGCACGCCCTTATGACTGGTGCCGGCGCCGGCTCCATCGGTGCCGAGGTCCTGCAGGGTCTTATCAGCGGTGGTGCCAAGGTTGTCGTGACCACCAGCAGATTCTCTCGCGAGGTCACTGAATACTACCAGTCCATGTACACCCGTTTCGGTGCTCGTGGCTCCCAGCTTGTTGTTGTGCCCTTCAACCAGGGTAGCAAGCAGGACTGTGAGGCTCTCATCGATTACATCTACGACCCCAAGAACGGCCTCGGCTGGGATCTGGACTTCATCGTGCCTTTCGCTGCCATCCCTGAGAACGGCCGCCAGATCGACCAGATTGACTCCCGATCTGAGCTGGCTCACCGCATCATGTTGACCAACTTGCTCCGCATCCTCGGAAGCGTCAAGACCCAGAAGGCCGACCGTGGCTTCGAGACCCGCCCTGCCCAGGTTGTCCTGCCTCTTTCCCCCAACCACGGCACCTTTGGTAACGATGGTCTTTACTCCGAGTCCAAGCTTGCGCTGGAGACTCTCTTCAACAGATGGCACTCTGAGGACTGGGGTCAGTACCTCACCATTTGCGGTGCCGTCATTGGCTGGACTCGTGGCACCGGTCTTATGAGCGGCAACAACGTTGTTGCCGAGGGTGTCGAGGCTTTTGGCGTTCGCACCTTCTCCCAGCAGGAGATGGCTTTCAACCTCTTGGGTCTCATGTCGCCTGCTGTTGTTGACCTCTGCCAGAGCGAGCCTGTCTTCGCTGACCTGAACGGTGGTCTCCAGTTTATCCCCGACCTCAACCAGACCATGACCAAGCTTCGCAAGGATATCATGGAGACCAGCGAGGTCCGCCGTGCTGTCACGAAGGAGACTGCTATTGAGAACAAGGTTGTCAACGGTCCCAACTCTGAGGCTCTGTACAAGAAGACACTTGTTGAACCCCGTGCCAACCTCAAGTTCGACTTCCCTACCCTGCCTGATTGGGAGGAGGAGATTGCTCCCCTCAACGACCGCCTCAAGGGCATGGTTGACTTGGAGAAGGTTGTCGTCGTCACCGGTTTTGCCGAAGTTGGTCCTTGGGGTAACTCCCGTACCCGTTGGGAGATGGAGGCTCACGGCGAGTTCTCTCTCGAGGGTTGCGTTGAGATGGCCTGGATCATGGGTCTGATCAAGAACCACAACGGTCCCATCAAGGGCAAGCCTGCTCCCTACTCCGGCTGGGTCGATGCCAAGACTGGCGAGCCCGTCGATGACAAGGACATCAAGCAGAAGTACGAGAAGTACATCCTCGAGCACTCGGGTATCCGTCTGATTGAGCCTGAGCTCTTTGGCGGCTACGATCCCGAGCAGAAGCAGCTTCTTCATGAGGTTGTCATCGAGGAGGACCTCGAGCCCTTCGAGGCGTCCAAGGAGACTGCCGAGGAGTTCAAGCGTGAGCACGGCGACAAGGTCGAGATCTTCGAGATCCCTGAGTCTGGCGAGTACATTGTCCGCATGAAGAAGGGGGCCGCTCTGTTGATCCCCAAGGCTCTCCGCTTCGACAGACTCGTCGCTGGCCAGATCCCCACTGGGTGGGACGCCAAGAGATATGGTGTTCCCGAGGACATCGTCTCCCAGGTCGACCCTGTCACGCTCTTCGTCCTCGTTTCCGTAGCCGAGACTCTGCTGTCGGCCGGTATCACCGACCCCTACGAGTTCTACAAGTACGTCCACGTTTCTGAGGTGGGCAACTGTATCGGATCCGGTATGGGAGGAGCCGGCGCTCTCCGCGGCATGCACAGAGACCGTTACCTGGACAAGCCTGTCCAGAATGACATTCTCCAGGAGTCATTCATCAACACCATGGCCGCTTGGGTTAACATGCTGTTGATCTCTTCCTCCGGTCCCATCAAGACCCCCGTCGGTGCTTGCGCCACCGCTGTCGAGTCCGTCGATATCGGTTACGAGACCATCATGGAAGGCAAGGCTCGCATCGTCTTCGTCGGTGGTTTCGATGACTTCGGTGAGGAGGGCTCTTACGAGTTCGCCAACATGAAGGCCACCAGCAACGCCGTTGATGAGATTGCCCACGGCCGCACCCCCGGCGAGATGTCGCGTCCCACCACCACCACTCGTAATGGATTCATGGAGTCCCAGGGTTGCGGTGTCCAGCTGATCATGACCGCCAAGCTCGCCCTTGACATGGGCATGCCCATCCACGGTATTCTGGCTTTGACCACCACTGCCACCGACAAGATTGGCCGATCCGTTCCCGCTCCTGGCCAAGGTGTGTTGACCACTGCCCGCGAGCACGCCGGCAAGTTCCCCTCGCCTCTGCTCGACATCAATTACCGTCGCCGCCAGATCGAGCTCCGCAAGAAGCAGATCAAGCAGTGGCAAGAGTCTGAGCTCGAATACCTCTACGACGAGGTCGAGGCCATCAAGGCTCAGGGCCAGGAGGTCAACGAGAAGGAGTACGCTCACGACCGCGCCGAGCACATCAAGAAGGAGGCAGAGCGCCAAGAGAAGGATGTCCTGCGCAGCCTCGGCAACAACTTCTGGAAGAACAACCCGGAGATTGCTCCTCTTCGTGGTGCCCTCGCTACCTGGGGTCTCACCATCGACGACCTCGAGGTCGCTTCTTTCCACGGAACCTCAACCAAGGCCAACGACAAGAACGAGTCTTCCGTCATCTGCCAACAGCTCCGCCACCTCGGCCGCAAGAAGGGCAACGCTGTCATGGGTATCTTCCAGAAGTACCTCACTGGTCACCCCAAGGGTGCTGCCGGTGCCTGGATGATGAACGGCTGCTTGCAGGTGCTCAACACCGGTTTGGTTCCGGGCAACCGCAATGCCGACAACGTCGATCCCATTATGGAGCAGTTTGACATGATTGTTTACCCCAGCCGCACCATCCAGACCGATGGTATCAAGGCCTTCTCCGTCACCTCTTTCGGTTTCGGTCAGAAGGGTGCTCAGGCCATCGGTGTCCACCCCAAGTACCTCTTCGCTACCCTGGACGAGAAGACGTACGAGGAGTACTCGGCCAAGGTCAACGCTCGCCAAAAGAAGGCTTACAGCTTCTTCCACAAGGGCCTGGTCAACAACACGCTCTTCGTGCCCAAGTCCAACGCTCCGTACACGGATGAGCAGCTCAGCAAGGTTCTCCTGAACCCTGATGCTCGCGTCACCGAGGACAAGAAGACCTCGACCATCTCTTACCCCTCCAACTTCATGAAGGCATCTGAGAAGACTGTCACCTCCACGGCGGCCAAGGCCACCCAGGACATGATGGAGGGTTTGGCCAAGAAGGTTGTCAACAAGAACAGCAACGTCGGTGTTGACGTTGAGGACATATCTGCCATCAACATTGAGAACGAGACGTTCATTGAGCGCAACTTCACCGCCGGTGAGATCAAGTACTGCCAGGCCGCAGCCAGCCCCCAGAGCTCATTCGCTGGCCGGTGGAGCGCAAAGGAGGCCGTCTTCAAGTCGCTTGGCGTCTCTAGCAAGGGTGCCGGTGCGCCGCTGAAGGACATTGAGATTGCCAAGGATGAGTCAGGCGCCCCGTTGGTCAAGGTAAGCTCAATTCACCATACAAGAGCTTATTGCAATCGTTTACTAACATGAGAACCAGCTCCACGGCGAAGCAGCTGCTGCCGCCAAGAAGGTTGGCCTTTCGGACATTAGCGTCTCGATTTCACACTCGGAGACGCAAGCGATTGCGGTGGCCGTGGCGAACTTTTAAAAAAGCGGGTAGACTGTACAATGCATTTCTAGTTCATGGGATATAGGCAGGCATGGGATCTTGCTTGTTCACTTTGGTCGTGTTTTGACAACATACAAGCCTGGGAGTATAGATTGCTGGTACACTTTGGGAGGAGTGTAGCCGCATGATCATCATCGTCGGATGAATTGACGAGTAATGCACGAGTTGGGAACGGCGCAACAATGATAGAAGCCAGTTCCTCATTGCCACAATAGAATCTGTATCAACCATCTCGGTGCCTTGAAAATGACTTGATGATGCCGCGGGTACAGCTTTCAACACGGGTTTGGGGAAGGATGGAAGCAAAGTAAAGCAAAGCTCTACCCCGCCTTGTGAGCGACCACTCATCCAAGTCTGCTCCCTTTGCCCATCTGTTCGGGCGAAAAGCGGCGATCAGGATGCCTGCAATGCAACGTGATCCTGGTTTCGTGCCATGGGAATCCAGGACGCCCGTCTGATGAATGGGATGAACTGACGAGGTGGGGGGCAGCTCACAACGTGGACAGTGATTCGGTTGGCATGCGCGAATGATTGGAAAGCAAGGGACATTGGATCAGAGGGATGGACTACATGGCGATGCAGGAGGGCTTGTTGGACTTGGTGATGTCGTCAACAGCGTTGACGGTGGGTGTCGGCGGTTGAGATTTGGGGTGATGGTTTTTCTGAGAAGGTGGACGGACGCTGGGACATTTCGGGAGGCGTAACCTAAGGCTGTGTGCCGTTGCAGAACGGTGACGGCATGTACCTCCTAGCTCAAGGAGGCGGCTTAGACGTGCAGCATCTGGCGTCCGACACACGTTGGTGTCTGTGAAGTGTGAAAAAATGAAGTAACAAAAGAGGTGACGAACAGCGTCGGTTGGTAGAAATGCAGTGGTGTTTTATTTCGGCTTGCGCGTTCTTTACTTTCGCGTCCTCGTTTTGTTTCAGTGTTTATCTCCGTTTCTTGTGACATCTTGTGTCTTCCCCCCCCTCGGTCGCCTTATGGAGTGGGAGGTTCGTCTGATGTGAGAATGGGTGTTGTTGGTTTTCTTGTTGTTGTTTCTTGAGACTGACAGGAGGTGAGGCTAGAGAAACAGTTCAAACATGGGCCACGTACGTAGTAAAGAGGGTAT